TCCCCAGCTTACTCTTTGAGCTCTATTTATATCATGTGTCCAACCTCAAAGCCCACAGGTCAGTCAGTCACATGAGGACCAGAAGCTGGCCAGGGGAGGACTTGAACTAATGGACACTCATGTGAGCTCTACAGGGGCACAACTGCCACTCTGCCTCAGTTAACTGTCACCATGTGAGATCGTGGACCTAGCATAGCAAGACAGTCAGAATTTTCCAGAAAGGCTGAAAATCCAGAATTCTGCGTTAACATCTCCTAATATAATAAGGTTGACGATAAATTTTTTTAATATAAAAGCATTGTGAGTCTAATAAAAGTTCACCACAGGCTGTTATTTTGCCTGGGTGTGTTACTGCTATTCGCCTTCAAAGGTACACCCTTCCTTACCTGATGGTCCCAATTTTAAATTACTAGATTGCACGTGTGAAACTGCCATTTTTCTAGATCAAAAATGGTCACGTCATACGGTTCAACATAGTATGAGCATGTACTCGGGACACTGACCCAAACTGATCTACTACATCTCGCCATCCTCCTCGTCTTACTATTTCACACGGAAAGAAAACCTTATCACAGCGACTCTTCTGTCATCTGGTGCATTCTATGTGGCAGGAACATGTGCACAGCGCAATCTCAAGTCAAAGACAAACAACAGTCATGGTGAGATACACACAACTTGCCCAACACATTAATTTAGAAAACAGACACTCCTGCTGGCCTGTCTGGGTAACAGTGCACAAACCGCTCGCCTCCACTGAGCCCAGCGCAGCACGACTATGTTTCTCAAGGCAGCTACAAATGACCTGGTTTGTGTCACCACCACGCTGACTAGTTTTGTCCTTCTGCCTCCATCAAAAGAACAAGTTAGTAGAACCTCCTTCCAGGGTTGCTGGAAAAGATTTAGAGCTTACCAAAAATAAAAAATAAAATAAAACATAAAAAGCAAAGAGTAGGATTAGGTGGATTAATGGCCACTCAGTGAAATGCACTTAACTTACATTTCACCACAGACCTGGATAAAGTACCTTGCCTGGGAAAGCCTGTTAAAACATTTAGAGATCACAGACCTCACTGAAGAAAAGCAGCCCTTGTATATAACTCATCAAGAACCATCTGATAACACCACAGAAAAATAAATAGTAGTCCTCGGTTCTGATTTTAAGAGATAGAGGAATCAAACCAGAAGAAATGTAAATAAACTCCCTTGGACCACAAGTTACATCTCAAGCAACAACTAAAAAAAAAAAGCAAAAAACAAAAAACTCTATAGTGAGTACAATTACTGAACACGCAGAAAGTACATGGATTGGGATACCTAATATAAAGAAATCCAATAATTTACTAATTTTAATAATTTTCAATGATAATGAAAATTATTATTAGGGAGTCTAGGTAAATTCAAGCCAGCCACCAGATGAGTCGTATGTGTGAGATAAAGAGCTAAAAAAGAACAGACTCTAATTTCCATCTAATTCAACGTGATTAATACTGGAATTCACTTCTAGGCATTTTTGTTTTCTTAATGAAACACAGTAGATTTTTTAAAAATCACTCTGGGAATATGATTGCTTGCCGGTTAAAAAAAAAAACAAAAAAACACTTAACATTAGTCTCAAGAGCACTTACTCAGAGGTTCAGCCCCTCAAAGCTGAAACTCTACTGTAGGATTTTCGTCCTAATATTGATACTGACAAACATGCAACCTGGAGTAAAACACATAACCTTTCTGCCACTGAAGCTGTTTACCTTTTAAGATTACTTCATTTTGATGGGGAGTATAGGGAGAAGAGCCCGCCCAAGCAATGAATGAATCACTTGAAATGTTACCTTCTTGAACAACCCCAAGGAGAATTAGTCACTTCCTCACAGTTCCCAGACAGGGACTCTCTGCATACCTCATCCTAGCACTTCCATGCTTGTGGAGCGGTCTCCTCCAGCCTTATTATTCCTAGAATCAGCCCTTCCACCTAGACCACTGCCTGGAACACAGGAGGCCTCCATAAATGTTGGCTGAGTGAATGGAATGCACATCAGCCGATCACTGGGGAGGACACCTGCAGACAAGGGAGGTGAAGCTGTGCTCCAAGCCGGGTCTACATAGAAGAGAGCAGGCACTGGTGGGCTATATAACCTAAAGCAAGGGGAAGAGCACTTTTACTGGATGTGTCATCTCTGGACTGCTTACCATGCGTGTGTTTTTAAGTAGGTCACTGGGGGGGATGTGGCACTTAACTTCAAGGCACAAGCCTAGGGAGGCTCTCTGCCTTCAGGCATTTCTGATTTGCAGAACATCCAGTTCAATTCTAAAGTCAGGTCTCATAAGAGAGCTCATTCTGACGAGGAATGTTCCATCTGAATTTCAATTTTTAAAAACTGAATCCACTGGCCCCTGTTCAGCATGTAGAAGCCACACAAAACATGGTAGGCTACTATAAACTAGGGCCTTCAATAATTCTATGTGAGCATACAGAGATGATATAAAACACTGAACAACAACATGAAGAACAGACAAGAGCCCACAACAGCCCTCGAAATTCATGTCAGAGAACACTGCATCAGGCACTAGACTGTAGGCAGGACACATTCCTACAGAGAAAATCTGACTTTTATATTCAGTAAAAGGTCACTTTGAAGTCCTTGCCCCCTGCAAACTCAAAGTCCAATGATCTGACAATACTGAAAAACTTCCTGTTCTGCTTGGAGGGGATAATCCAACTCCTCCCAGCAAAACCCACTTGTTTTACTGATTAAATCAACAAAATGGAAGCCAACATTCCACAAAAAAATGTCTATTGCTATTCACGCAGATAAACAGATACACCCACTGGCAAGGCCAAAAGGCACAAGTGCCCTGGTTTGAATATGTATGGTGTGGTGGTGGCTTCCAATTCCTTACTGCTCCAACCTCAAGCCACCTGTAAATGGGACGGGCTCTAAATGCAAAAAGAAGAGCCAGTCCCTACTTCCAGGTCAGTACCATTCCATTCCCTCTCTGCAGCTATAGGCATGTTGGCTTTGCATAAATAAGAAAAAGGAATCCCTCTGACTGAACACAACGGGGTGCAGGGCCTGACATGTGGACAATACTCAGTTAGGGGTAAAAGCTCTTTTCTCCCAGCTAATTGCATCAGAGCTTGTGGGCTAAACAAGGGTTGGATTTTCAGCCTCCAGGGGCAACATACCACGTTGGTGGCCTTCGATCAAAGGTTATTAGCATATCCACAGCCCATGCCCTCTTAAAAAAAAACAAAAATTAAAGTTGATGTCTAAGCCCCAGTACAACAACTCCAGAGCCAAGAAGTAACCCCATGGGAAGGCCCTGGATTTGGGCAGATTTTTTCAAAGCCTCAGGAAGAGGATAACTACATCAGTCACACCTAAGATGTCTGTTTAAAAAGCAGATTCTTAACCCTGTATCCAATCTATTGAATCGCAATTATTGCAACTGGAGGCCTGAAATCTGCATATTTAATTAGTTTCTCTAGCAATTCACCCACATCCTTAGATTTGAGAACCATGGCTCCCTCCTGGGTATCAGCTTCTCTCGCCACACCTCTGCCAGGATTCTAGGGCTTGGGGAAATTCATCAGTCAGGGGCTATTAGGAAAATGGAAGCACTACTATGTAACACAACAGATATTATTTAATACGAAGATCTCATTCAACAGGTGCTAGAGAATGGAAAAGACTGAGTGACACAGAGTTACTCAGGAAGCAGTAGGAAGCAGCTACCACTCCTGGGGTAGGACTGCAGGAAACAAAGGGAGGAGGTGGGGGTTATTAGAATCCACACATTTAGGAGGAAACCCGCAGGGCTGGGACCCTGATCTCTGAAGAGGAGCCGTTTCTGAAGGTCCACATGGGACTGGGATGGCAGCTCAGGGGGTGCCAGGAGGCTGGCTCCAAGAGGTAGAAGGAAACTGGAAATGGAAACCAACTACTGCAGGCAGAGGGAAAGACCCTTTCCGAAGCTAAGCTGACAAGAACAGTAACAGGATGAAGTGTGTCCCTTCTCCCCCCTGCAGTCTTCCAGAATTCCCCTGGTGCCCCCACTAGCAGAGCTTAACAGGGAAACAGCAGGCAAAGAAGGAACGTGGAAAGTGGTCTGCTGACGACCAACCCAACACCCCAAGCAGATTCTAGGAAGGTCTGTCTGGGGCTTAGAGGAAATCGCTTAATAAGGAGCCAAGGGAGTGTGACCTCCGCCAGCTCCAAAAAGAGGCTGGGGCTTTTCTACGCTCCATTAACAATGGCCAGACTTTTGTAAAAATTCTCATTTCACTCTATTTTTCAACACAATTACTAAAATGATCCTTTTTAACATCTAACACTTTCCAAATGTTTACTCTGTACTTCTAAACCCCGCCCCATTCCACCCCAATCTACTTCCTCTGGATCGAGTGGTGGTTATGACTGAGGGTCTGGGGTCACACACCCCAAGTTATGTGACCTTGGACACACTGCCTGTGTGCTTTGTGCTGCACATTCCCCAATTATAAAAAGCTAATGAAAATAGCATCTACCTCACAGGAGGGCTGTAACTATTAAATGAGACTATACATGTAAACGTAATAATATAAATGTACCTGTCTGGCACTGAAGTGTTTAATAATGTTTTGACTGTTGGGGTTAATAGTATCCACATGATTATCCCAGACACCTGGACAGAAACTAGAACTAGGTCCACTACACCTTTTGAGAAAATGCCTGCTCATCCCCACCTCCCTATGATCAGCTCTGCTCCCACTCAGCCCCAGTTCCTGCCAGCTACCTATCAACTCCCCGTCTTCCAATCCCACTCCTGAGGGCCAGCACTGACAACTTTTATACGGTAATGATTGGGCGCAGAGAAAATTATGCCAGGAAAGTGATTCATTGTTCAAGATACAATTAGCCCCACTTCTCAGGTAATTAAACAGCCCTGGCTACCACATCCATGATGCAGCAAGTAACTAAAACATTTCTCCTACTCAAGGACACAGGAAAAGAAAGTCCACTCACTTTTATGCCACCTCTCCATCTGATCTGATTGCACTTATAATCCAACTCCTGCTTATCCTGTCTCCTCTGACAACCTGAGGTCCTCCCCTACGTTACAACCGCGGAACAGGAAGTAAGATCACCCTCTGCATGGTAGAAGCCTTCCTTCCCCTTCTCTTCACATACTTTCACCCAGAAGCAGGGGCATGAGCCACAGTCTGAAATGATGGCAGAAAATAAGAGCCACGAAGGAAGAGGATATCAACTGCAGGAACACAAATGTCCAGTGCAGTGAAAAGCAGTGTCTTGGCAACCCAGGTGGCCCTGAGAGCATCGCTGAGTGAGAAGGAAAATTAAAAGACACATCCTCATGAAGGGCATGGAACACCTGCTAAGCCCCAGTGGAAGCAGCGGCATGCTGCAGTCTCTGCCTCCAGCAGCCCCAGCCCACAGTTCCTCCTAAGCGAGGCCACCTGCAGATCCTACAATACCATGAGTCGGAGCCTGGCAGGACATCAGGAGAATGTTCCCTCCTTTAGTCTTGGGGCTGGGGGCTAAAGTGTTAGGACTGTGTTGTATTGAAAGATGTGGAGACAACTGGGTGTGCTGCGAAAACGTCGCTGCTCATTTAGTTAGTATGGGATGGGGGTGAGTTCTACATTTCTCAAGCTCCCAGGTGATGTGATGCTGCTGGTCCATGGGCCACATTTTCAGTTGCTACCATGTAGGTGGCATAGCTTCCCTAAATTATCCCCAAAGGGGCCAGGTATCCACCTCCTAACAAGGGAATAGAGTTTAGGCCTCTATGGAAGGAACTGGAAAGGAGTCCTCAGGCATGGAAAAGCAGATGCCTCAGCATCAGGGACAAGAGGTGCCAGTCTGGGAAGGGTCTCGCCTGCCTGCAAGCATCCAGAAGGAGCAGATCCACTCCAAAGAATCATAATTAAGGAATTTACGTGTATTGAGCTATTCAAAAATGAAGATTCAGTTGAGCATGGTGGCTCATGCCTGTAATCCCAACACTTTGAGAGGCTGAGGTAGGCAGATCACTTGAGGTCAGGAGTTCAAGGCCAGCCTGGCCAATACGGCGAAACCCCTTCTCTATTTAAAAAAATAAAAAAATAAAAATAAAAATTAGCTGGGCATGGAGGTACAGGCCTGTAGTCTCAGCTACTCAGAAGGCAGAGGTGGGAGAATAGCTTGAACTTGGCTGGCAGAGGTTACAGTGAGCCAAGGTCACGCAACTGCACTCCAGCCTGGGCAACAGAGCGAGACTCTGTCTCAAAATAAATTAATTAATTAAAGTAAAATAAAAACAAAAATGAAGATTCAACATTCCCTCAATCCCATAACATGTAAGTTTACTATTTTATTTTTTGGGTGCATTTTTCAGAAATTCACTACAAATGAAAGATGACGACAACTCCTGCCATAGTAGAAATTAGTGGAAAAGGCATAATTAAATTTCAGAATTATTTCCAGCACATATGGTCGAAATTAAGTTGGACTTTATCTGGAAATTTATTTTATTAATCCAGAAAACATGATACCTCAAACATTATGGGTAAAGATATAAACAAAGCTAAACAGCTGATTGCATCTGTTTTTATTCAACTTATGTTGAGCCTCCAGTCACACTCACATTAAATAAATTTGATAACACTACCTCTAAATTCAACCTATACAAGTTACGGGGTATGATATTACAAGAAAGAAAATCATTACAAGTATTGATTTTTTTTTTTTTTAATTGAAACTACTTTCTTACAGCCTGAGGCCCAGGTCCCCGGATGTATGACACATCTCTAACTAGAAGCAGACGGAGAGCTGCTTAGGATAGTCTGAGTTTCAATATGACTTACAGTCACACATTTACTTTTTTTTTTTTTTTTTTTTTTTTTACAGCTAGGCCGATTAGATTGGTAAGTACTTGTTAAACTGACATTTTCACAGATGAGCTTTATTTCCTCTCTCTTTCATTTACTCAAATGATAGGAAGTATTTAGTTTTACATCCTCATTGTCAAGTTTTTGTAACTAACATTTCTACCTTGAACTCTAAGCTCTCAGAAGACATAACCTGGGCAACATAACGAGACCCAGCCCCTATAAAAATTTTTTTAAAAATTAGCCAGACATGCTGGCACATACCTGTAGTCCTAGCTAGGGAGGCTGTGGTGGGAGGATCGTTTGAGCAGAGGAAGTTGAGGTTGCAGTGAGCCACGATGGCACCACTGCACTCCAGCCTGGGCAACAGAGCAAGACCGTGTCTCAAAACAAAACTACCAAAAGACAGTTACCTACCACTGATTTGCCTCATTTGCTGCCAAGATAACTCTTCTGCACATAATTTAATAAAGTCCAGTCAGTGGCCATGCTCTTCAGTTTGGACTCCAAGCTGTAGCCTACTAGCTACAGCATGTGAACAAAAATCCTGTAAAAGCCCAAAATTCAGATTCAATCTCTGTAAAAGTCCAAGATTCAGATTCAATCTCCTGATGCATCAATTAGCTGCCCTTTGTTAGCTGCCAAAAATAATACTTAAGTCCATCCAGTTAAGAGTAATAAGAACAAAATGAATGGCTGAGTGTAAGAATTCCACCACTACGGGCTGGGCACAGTGGCTTACGCCTGTAATCCCAGCACTTTGGGAGGCCTAGGTGGGTAGATCACCTGAGGTCAAGAGTTCAAGACCAGCCTGGCCAACATGGCAAAACCCCATCTCTACTAAAAATCCAAAAATTAGCTGGGCGTAGTGGTGGGCACCTGTAACCCCAGCTGCTCAGGAGGCTGAGGCAGGAGAATCACTTGAACCTGGGAGGTGGAGGTTGCAGTGGGCCAAGATCGTGCCATTGCACTCCAGCCTGGGTTACAAGAGCGAAACTCTGTTTCAAAGGGAAAAGAAAAGAATTCCACCACTATAAATGGGAATGGGGTGGGAAGAAGTTATCAAATACGTATGATCTACTCATTATGCATAATAATTATAATAATGCCTTCTTCACACTAAGAATAATAGCATCTTGGAGTTACAAAGAACCTCAATTTATAGTTTATATGATCACCTCCAACTTACATATTATACAATAATGAAGAATATGTACTTGTTTATTCATCCAACATATTTCACTGAGCTTCTAGTATGTGCCACATCCTATTTAGGGTGGTAGAAAGGAAGCTCAGAGCAAAAAGTATCTGCCTTCCTAGAGTTTACATTTTATGTGAGAGGGGATGTGGATTTAAAAGCATCATAAACGGCTAGGTGTGGTGGCTCACGCCTGCAATCCCAACACTTTGGGAGGCCAAGGAAGGTAGATCACCTGAGGTCAGGAGTTCAAGACCAGGCTGGCCAACGTAGTGAAACGTCATCTCTACTAAAAATACAAAAAATTACCTGGGCAGGCACCTGTAATCCCAGCCACTCGGGAGGCTGAGGCAGGAGAATTGCTTGAACCTGGGAGGCGGAGGTTGCAGTGAGCTGTGATCATGCCACTGCACTCTAGAGCAAGACTCTGTCTCAAAAAAAAAAAAAAAGTATAATATAAATAAGACAATTTCAGATTGCAATAAGTGCTATGACAAAAATAAAATTGGTGGGGACAATACTTGAGCTATGGTGGTTAGAGAAGCCTCTCCTCAGGTAGTAACATCTGGGCTGATGAGAAGCGGCTGGCCATGCAAAGATCTGAGCATTCTAAGATGAAGGGCAGCATGGGCAAAAGGCCTCAGATAGGGATCAGTTTGGAGAGGCTGAGGGACAAAGACAGAGGCAGTGTGGCTGGTGCTTGTCAACTAAGAGGCAGGTGGAAAAGAGATGGTAGGACAGGTTGGCAGGAGACTAAGCACAGGGAGAGAGTCCTTAGACCAAGGTGAATACTTTAAAGGATTTTGAAAAAAAGAATTACAGAATCTGGCTTACATTGTACAAAGGTCACTCTGGCTGCTATGTGTAGATAAGATTGTATGTAGGGCAAGAGTAGGCACAGAATGGTTGTTTAGGGTGTTACTGTAGATGTGCGGGCATGAGTCAACAACAGCAAGTGCTAGGATAGACAAAGTAGAGAAGAAGAAAAGTAAAGTGGTTGGATTTGAGAATATATTTGGACATAGAGCCACAGGACTTGCTGATAGATTGGAAGTTAAATGCAGAGGAGGAGACGTTTAGGTACTAAAACTAAATATGTAATCACCTCTACTATAATCATCACTCCATTTTATAAAGAATGGCCTTGATTCTCTCTTCACCCATCCCAAAACCCTGCCAATGCTGGCCCATCCACCGGAATATGTTCTGCATGCTCCAGATGTCAATTTGAAAGGCTTAGGCTGCCACTATTGTTCAATGAACCTCCAACATCAGAAACAAGGAAGAGTGAGGATGCAGGAGAAGGAACGATGAAAACCGAGAAGGGGATGTGCTTCCCATGTTCAAGAGATATTTCGGGGGAAAGAACCGTCCAATCACATCTTACAAATGGGTATTCATGTGTACTGCCCTCCTATAAAGAAATGTTACACAAAACCAAAAAATATGTATGTAAATATCCAGTATTTGTAGGTATTTTTTCCATCCAACACTTTTTCTTGTAAAGGCTTAAAAGAAATAGTTAACTTGTTCATTAAAATTAAACCATATTGGCCGGGTACAGTGGCTCACGTCTGTAATCCCAGCACTTTGGGAGGCCGAGGTGGCCAGATCACCTGAGGTCAGGAGTTCGAGACCACCCTGGCCAAGATGGTAAAATCCTGTCTCTACTGAAAATACAAAAAAATTAGCCGGGCGTGGTGTAATCCCAGCTACTTGGGAGGCTGAGGCAGGAGAATCGCTTGAACCCGGGAGGCAGAGGTTGCAGTGAGCCAGGACTGCGCCATTGCACTCCAGCCTGGCCAAAAAGAACGAAACTCAGTCTCAAAAAAAAAAAGTAAAAATAAAACCATACTAAACAACAATGACAACGAGTGCATTAAAAAGCCCATTGCCCAAACACAACTATTTTCATGATTGCATATTCCATTGCAATCTTTACTCACACACACACGCACATGATGTACTCACATTTATAGCCACAATAATTATGACTTTCAATTGTGCTATTGTTATTGAGAATTAGATCCCAAACACTTTTCATGTTTCTAAAACCTACTAATAATTACATTAATTGTGGTATAACATCCCAACATGTTATTGAACCATAAACTATTGCCTGTAGCCCTAAGACTAAGCACTTGAATTCTCCTTTATCTCAGTGTTGTGTAATAATTTCAAAGGGATAACCCACCTTTGGTACAAATAAAAGCTAAAACGATGTCAAGTTTGTAAGCTTCAAGTGTCTTGAAAAGTTGCTGTATTTGGTAATTCATTACATTGCTTATAAAATCATTCACCTGTCAATGACTTCCCAAACCAAGTAAGTAAAAAGAAATAGATTTCAGTTAGGAATTATTTACTGATGATACTAGAATAACTCACAAAGCACAACAGGAAATTGTCTGAATCTGATCTAAACTAGAGTGTGTGCATTTGTCCTCACTGGCGAATCAAACATGGACTTGGCACACTGTACTCACCAGCACTGTAACTTCACGAAGTCTCAGCGTTCACTAGGTGACTAAGTGCTATTGGCAAGAGTCCACAGATGAAACGCTTCAAGAGACACTCTCTGAATGTTTTAAGGATAGTTTTACATTAAAATAGTTTACTATATTTAAACATGTTTGAGTAAATTTAGAACTGTATATATAACATACAGATAAATGTTACAGAGAGAGATTACTATACTGTATTCTAAAGGTGTCTTTCATTTAAGGCTTGCTAACTCCTCAATGCACATCTTAAAAAGTTTCACATGCTTATGCAATTGCTAGTTTCCCAGCTGTCTCCAGATTCTTTGCTGTGGCATCATATTTTGGGCAATGCTAAAAGTAGCAGGGGGCAGGGGAAACTTCAGGGACTTCAGGCTTCAGGCAATGTTTAAAAGAAAAATCCTGTATTCCTTATACCCTGATACTTAGGGGGTTACACCATTCAGTGGACATGAGTTAATAAAA